TTTATTTAGCCTCTGAGAAAAGTCATCTAGGACTAAGCCTAAACAGCAGGGACGAACTCCGGAGAATACGAAAATTGCTTCCGTACACCGGAGTTCCTCTCCTCTTCAAAAGCTTAGTCCTAAAACGGAGCGTTTCCGTGATTTTGACGCGATGTTGCGAGGTGCCCCCCCCGAGCTACATTGCACCTCTTCCATGCTCCCAGCAGAACCAATCCGCCTACAAGACTGTCATATTCGCATTTGCTTAAACGTTAACCACTTAGCAACTCACCATTCCCCACTTTAGACCCGTTGCGCGTGAGGTATGGCACAGCGTGTGCATTGCCGCGGCGGTACATTTTATTTGACGGCGGAGCCGCCTCCTGTCCCTAGTGACGATCCTCGCTACCACCTAGCACATCTTGTCTAGATGAATAAAAACACGGAGAACAATGGCTGGCGATCTTTTTCCGTCGAAAGGACCGATAAATATCATCCTTGTTTTTTATCATATATCTGCTTCTGCTGTCCTACCACAGAAATAGCGTCTTAGTAGGTGCAATAAGCTGCTTCAGAAGATATTAGTTGGGAAGGTAATAGCCCAACTCATGGTGAGGGGCTTAGCTTTGGAGGACCCCTTTCACAAATGAACAATATCCAAGATCTTTCAAAGCTATGCCTGAAAATGCTCCGAAGGGGGCACCACCGAGCGCGATCTTGTGGTGAAAGGGCATAGGTGAGCGGAGATAATAAGTTGCCAACCGTTTCCCAACCCAACTCCTAAAGCGCCATTTTTATTCGGCTCCTCACACTATATAAGAAACTCACCCCTGTTCGCCCAAGTATATTCACACTGCTTGAACTTTCTGTATCGGAGCACGCACTACTTACACTTGAGTCCGAGAGTCGCCGCGGCCTCACCATCAAAGCCGCTTGTTGTGCTCGCTCTGCTCTGAAATGTTGCTTTATTGAAAAAGGTTCTTTCAGTAGCGCATAAACGCTACCCAGCAAGTGGGATCAATAGAAGTGGTGAACATTGCCCGTTAACGGCGAATAATGGAAGGCGAGACAAGATGACCCTGGTGTGAACGGCGAACTTCACTACATTCCTAGCAAAACTCGCATCGCCATGGACTTGAACCATGTAATGCAGCGTCCATGAGCGCGACGTTTGCCACTGCACCACAAAGCATTGCTGGTTTACTTTGAAAGAATTGTAGAAAGCAAGGTAGTAATCCATGAGGGTTGCAAAACCTGATGCATCCAGTAGTACTGATCCCCTGTCCGATCCAATCAAAATATACCGAACCCCCTGCACCAACTGACGTGTCGGTGCTGCAGGAACATGGGCACAGTGGTTGTACGAGTGGTGGAATGCTACTATGCCCAATGAAGGAGCTATAACACGATAAGGGAACACAGCACTAAACAACTGATCACGTTATTGACAAGTAGTTATCAATATTATTGAAAACTTACCTGCGCTCCTCCCCCAATCTCTCTCCACCTCACCGACCTCTCCATTTTCCTTGTTCGCTAGCTTATAGGATCCACAGTCGTCGGAGACGCATGTGTCGCGCTGACGACCACTTAAAATGTCCTCCGATTACATTCTTAGGCGCTCCCGCGTTGACCGCTCTACTTCTCTAGCTGTCCCTTGCCCTTTCCTTTCCCTGCCGGATCCGCCGTCTGTGGTTTGAGTCACCTTGTCTGGCCACTAATTGTAAGGAGTCTGGCATAGACTCGCCGATAGACCTGAGATTGAGGTGAGCTTCCTTTGCTTCCCAACGTTTTCCAAGCGCGGACCAATGCGAGGTCAACGTGACATCGTGGCCACCTCTAGGCTGACCTTTTGGGACCCTTTACTACCGTCCCAGGTGAATTAAACGTTTTTAAGAATAGCTCAGCTCTATCTGAGGCTTTCCGTATACAATTCATATCTCTGCAGAAGAATCGTATCCATCAGGTCTGTCGCGCGGCGGGAAGGTACAGACACAGAGTCGTCAGCTGACGAGTTAGGCTGCTTTCATAGTTCGCATCGGTGCGGTCGGTGCCGTCGGTGCCGACGGCGCCGACCGCACCGACAGTGTGAAGAGCGTCAATACGCGCTCTGGCGCATGACGCGTACGTTGGGCGCAGATCGCGCGCTCCGATCGATAATCTTGGTTTTGGTGTATTTCTTGTCTTTTTCGATGTTTTTTTTGCGCAGTCTTCCTTTTATTCGTGTGTTTTCTGTTCATACTTATTCTTTATGTCTTGATGAATACTTTTCAGTTGTTCCGCGGACGAGCGACGTCGTACAACCCCGTGTGAACGTGGCTTCAAGACCCGGTCAGTGATTTCATCATGAGCAATTTTGTTTATTCGAGTGAACTGTATGTTTCCAGTAGTTGCTTTCTCTTCGATACGATTTCCTGCTGGTGTGCGAATAATTAAATTACCAAGATCCGGCGGCCTTTCGCACACCAGCAGGAAATCGTATCGAAGAAAAAGCAACTTCTAAATTTATAGAGTCCACTCGAATAAACAAAATTGCTTATGATGAACTCACCCGGTATAGCCACTTCACCGGGGTAGTACGACGGGGTTCTACGAAGTCGCTCGTCCGCGGAACAACTGAAAAGTATAATCAAGACATAAAAGAATAAGTATGAACAGAAAACACACGAATAAAAGCAACACGGCGCAAAAAAACATCGAAAAAGACAAGAAATACACCAAAACCAAGATTATCGATCGGAGCGCGCCATCTGCGCCCAACGTACGCGTCATGCGCCAGAGCGCGTATTGACGCTCTTCACACTGTCGGTGCGGTCGGCGCCGTCGGCACCGACGGCACCGACCGCACCGACCGCACCGGCGCGAAGTATGAAAGCAGCCTTACAGCGCCTATTGTGCGATGCGGGAGGTACAGTAGTACATTCTATTCGTCTTGACGTTAATTCGCTACTGTACACTCCGCGACGCGTCCGCTGACAAGTCTGTGTCTAAGCCTTTCCGCCGCGCGATGGGCCTCATGTCGGGTACTCACAGAAGAAAGAACGTCAACTTCTTCATCTTGTTCATCTGAGAGTAGACGGCAGAGTCAATGTAATATTGAAACATGAAGAAGTCTATAGGAAGGTTTAGTAAATTCCAATAAAAACTCACCGTTGTTGAGTGGAGCTTTGCAGAATTGAAGACAGATGTTCGACCAGCCGTTTGAATCGGCGGACAGGGCCTAAACAACGACGTTCGAATTGAGGGTCGGGATGCGACAAGAGTTTTTCATAAGTATCACCTGCTAAAAGCACGAATTGGACCACATACGTAGGAGCTTCACCGTCAGCTGTGATAACCTTTTGGGGGGACATGACGATATCCACCTATAGTCGAAATGGAACAATGAAACTGGGTTGATACCAGTGATCAAAAAATCTAATAAGGCTTTAAAAACAAACATTCATCTTCACTCCACGGCTGAAGACACCTCCTCCAACCGTTGGACCACGCTTGTATTCCACCCGAAAACAGTTTTGGCCAACAACGCAATGACTAAGCTCGTGTATCTGAAACAAACTGTTATTGTGCAAGCGAAGATCACATGGGACGACAGTGCAACCATTAACACACTGACGACAGCGCGGTAAACATATATCCCGCGACCGCAGGCCATGGCGGACCGTGCGGACTACACGTTTCCCACACCCAATTCACTATTTCTTCGCGCATGCTTTTCACAAGGTCTTTTTGTTTCTATTTCATAGGACAGATATTAATATAACTACAAACGTAATAAATACAATAATACAACTACAAAAAAGATTTTCAATAACAGAGGCTCCGAAAAATGTACTTACGGTTAAAAATGATCGAATAAGTTCAGCTTTGATTGTGTTCAAAGTTCTTCCTTGGACGGGGACACAATGTGTGTCATCTCTCTCAACGCTAACGCTCGATGTTAGTGATCCGAACCACGATTTCTTCACAAGGCTTAAATAATCTTCATTTACGCCGCAGTATTAGTAAATGACAACAAGTCCTTGGCTTTTCTTGATCCCTCACTTCTAAGCTGGTGGTCGTGAAGCGAGTGTTCACTATCACGACCATCAGCTTAGAACTGATGACAACCCTCACTTTCAACAAGTAATATGCAGCCTCCAACGATGAAAAAGGAACCGATTAGCTTTGCACACTATCGTGGTGCTCCACCACGCTTTTTATCCATTATATTAAATAGCGAACCGGAAACCGTTCGGAAGGTGGGCATGATCGAAACCAGGGTCAACCGTTACGTTGGACCGATATTGGAGCGACGTTGGACCGATGTTCACCGCTCTCCGCGCCGGCATTCACTCTCGCCACCCGCGAGCCGTCTGTGTCTCCGTGCGTACGTTCACTCTCGGCATTACTCTCGTCGTCGCGTTGGACTTTGTCCAACGGACGGTTAAAGGAATCTTGCGCGGAAAATTCTTGCACTCTTTCCTAACATGAATATGTCAGTTGTGATCACTGGAAATAGCACACAAAGTTTCACGCATGAAGATTCGGTTTCTGAAGAGAAACAAACGTACAAAAACTACACGTTATGGACCATCGAAGGACCAGGAGGCAGAGCCAGGCGAGGCATGGAAAGAAGACGGCGTTTGGCCGGCTACGTACCAGGCGACGCAATGAGAGAATCGGGTTAAAGCGCGCGATTTCGGAGAGTGGAGACAAATCGATCGATGGAATAGGATGGAGTAGAAGTGTAAGATGTGAATGCAACGAAGCAGAAGGCCAGAAAGAGCTTCTAGTGAATGCACTCCAAGAACCAAGTTTGAGCATCCCCGTCGCCAGCATTCGTGAAAGACGTCCGTGGGCAATTCGAACGCGTAGCAGCCTTTTCGAGTTTTCGAATTTCTAATCAAAACGAAAGCAATACTTCAGTTCTTTTCACTATTATCGTGGATAATGAGTCTCAAGCCAGTGATTTATGGCTGAAATAGAATCATGATTTTTCCGCGCAAGATTCCTTTAACTGATCGAATCCTATTGCTGTATCGATAATATTGGGTACAACCTCTGCCTGTTATAGGGCAACAGTGCCTGTTCAAAACTTAAAGGCATATTCCGCAAGTAAATCATTTGAACAATCTCTCTCATAGTTGAGATTGCTAGGACCAAATTTCCAGAGGTGATCGATTACGAGGCATCCCGTCCATAAATTGAGATTATTCGCCATGAGCCTTGTGAAACTCTATCTTGTCGCGCACTTTCGAGCCGCGACGAAGGCAAATCTGTACCACTCGTGGGCTACCCTATCCTACCCACTGAATAGATTCATCGTCATTTCTTCTGGGGTGTTACTTTAGGTATTCTCGCAGGGTTTATCTTCGAGTTTTTATTTTCTTTTTCCGCCCACTTCATTGTTCTGCACTCATTCTAGCGCAGACTGCTCCTCCGAAATTATCGTAAGGTAACCCTTCAATAACAATCACGTCCATGAAGCTTTCTTACAAGTTGGTTTTTTATCTGAAAAATTTAATTTGATACACAAAAACACTTACTCGGTGGTATCGAGCATCTGACCATCATCGCTGTCCTCTGAAGTACCATTAGACATTTTTCGACGATGGAATCGTGGTGTTCCAAGGAATGAGTTTTTGATATTGGTCAGCTTCGACTTCCATGGACCAACTGACGCGTTAAGACTAGTCTGGCTGCTTCCTAAAATAAAATCGTTTGCAATTCTTTGATCTATGATGAGCTTTTCTTCCAACCAAGGTGTTCATCAAGCCATTTGGCCCGCCAATATCAGAGCATAGCCTATGCTCTGAAAACACTTAGAAAACGCATATAATTCTACCTGTCACCAAGCTGGTGGAGGATGATGTAGTAGATCCAAGTCCTGTACTAATAATTGAAGTTGATGTTTTCGGAGGTGAAGTGTTCTTAGTAGCCTGAACAGGAAAATACGTACATCATGTGTCATGCTAGAACTTCGAAGCAGAGGTGGTGTGGTGGCAAGTGGCGCCTTTTCCGAAGTGTACGGTCCGGAGGTCAAATCTCGGGTTGAATCTCCTAAGCCAGGTCCCCGTAAACCATAGTGTGGGCCACACTGAATTCAAATGCCATCACGATTTTGAATAGATGTAAAATGGTGCATCCCAAAAAATTGATCAACGCTGAAAGTAACATCTTCTATCCTTTAGCGCTGTTCGAGCAACTTTCTTGACCCCGCCTACTGCCGATGGTTAAATTTCTTCCACGAAAGCTCTGAACGAAAGGAATGAAGGACATCGTGTCCCTCGAGCGAGGAGGGATCCACTGGACAACCTTGCACGCGACAGGGACGAATGGAGACGTTGCTGGCGCCCGCTCGAAATTCGATGATCAACGGGACGACAGGTGATATAGGTAATACCGTATCACCTAGGGAAGCTGGAAGCTGTTTTTCACCCTTCACTTGCGCTCTCTTACAATAAGCGAGAATCATTTCGGGGCTAGCTGGTTTGCTTTGGGTTTAACGATCAGTGAACCGCAAGTCAAGAGTATATTTTTGATATAACTGACCTCAAATTCGATGTTTGTGCGTTTCGTCTCCTGCCTACGTGCTGTATCTACGTTACGGCCCTGATTTCTGTCCTCTTGAACTTGTAGGACCTCACGATTTTCTACTCGTTCCTTTTCTTGGCGAACAGCTCGCACTTGTTTTGCTGCCTCAGCTAGCGTTTGTGGATCAACCGGTTGAGTGTAGTAGTGATAGTTGTTGGCATTCCTGTAATAATTTTAGCCTAAAAAAGGTGCTAGAAAGAGTGATATGTGCATTTTTACATATTAGAGAGCAGGCAAAGTGAACGCTCCCCTTTTGTGAGATTAATTGTAATCTGTCGTTAGCCAATTTTCAACTACCGGCAGCGTATCTCAGCAGTACCTCAAAGCTCTCAAAGGGTGAGGAAAGTTGAATTGATTTCTCAAAGGTGCTCAGACTATAATTGAAGTACTAGTATCGAGAGCATTCATAGTTTTCATTTGCAACAGAAAATGAGCAGGAAAATCCAAAGCAATGAACGCCGGACTTGTGAAAAGGTGC